GTGTTTGCATTAAGAATTATAGAACAAAAGATCAGCAAAGCGGTGCTTTTGTCGGCGATTTTGTCAAAGGGAATATTGATAAAATGTTGCAAAACAGAATCGCGAGTTGGGTGAAAAATTGCGCCGGCGGCATTCTCAGCGATGGCGACACCCGAGAAACACCGTGTCACGGTGCATTCGTGCATCAGTACACCGAAGAAATACATACATATTGTTGCGGACGACTATTGTAGACTGTGTTCGTGTAGTCTTCGAGTTTGTGGACAGTTAAAGTCGTGTGTGAATTTATTCAAGCCAGGAAAAGCAGGAGGGATAACCTGCCCGACCACGTTCAAGTTCAAAACGACGTTCCATAACTTTCTCACATTCAATTTGCAATGATGACCGCAGTTCATATGTACTTAGCGACGTGACGGACATTAACAACCATGATGTTGAAAAGGAGTTTGATGAAAATATGCCATTTCCAATTAGAAATCATTTTGATTTGATTTATGGATGGCGAGCACCGACACTCCGATCCGATGAACTAATCAAATCTAAAATGGCGCGTGTCACGTGACTTTGTTTACTAAAGATAGCGTGGGCGTTTGATTGACACTCAACTCATTAGTATTCCACCAATCACAGCTACATCTACTTTCTGGATGTGCGCAGTCAAATTGTATAGGAGACAAGCTGGAGTCTCGTGTGGCGATAGCGATAACACCGGGACGAATGGTCTGGGGTAAATAAAAGGACGATGGTCGTCACACCACGCATGCGCATGATATGAGTCTCATCTGAACAAAGATGGCGAATTTGACTGTTGCACAAACGAACGAACACAAACTGAGTCTTTACCAAGCTTTAAATATGTATTTGTTTCGGTGATAGGATGGTATCGAAGAAATCGCCGACAGTAATTAGTGCACTTTGCGCCCAGGTAAAAACTCCATTAAAAGAGCGCACTGGATTGTGGGAAAATCAATGTTATCAACACAAATGTCGCATGCGTTGCGTGACGACCACTGGCCTTTATATTTATTACCGTTGTCTTAGATTAACATTGAACGCATTTCTGAATACAGAGGGCGCTATTATTCAGCTTATAGTATTCAGCTCCGCGGGACAGTAGAAGTATATAACTCAGAAAAGCATCGGCGGTAATACATTAATCCAAAATCACATATTTACCAAAGCATATATATTCAAACATGACCATTTTACAGATTTCACAATTCAGAGTTTCAATGTTCCATATTTCCGGGGTTTTCCCATGACCTCGTTCTGATGTATCCATGTTCCCGAGATTTCCGACAATTCCACTTTAACTTCAACGATTTCAGCAACGCCTACATTTTTAATTGCACTGACACCAACCATACGTTTACCCATATGCTGTTGTACTGTGTATGATAATTTATCTCGGCACTGGAATCAATGGGAAGTCACTTACAACATTCTACCCGGTTGGCTACTCTTCAGACAGGCCAATCAGAGAGAAGCTTGTTTGTTTTTCCGACGTGTCAAATTCCGCCTTGTATGTATGCTTCGACTAAACTGCTATTACTGACCTTCAATGGATCCCACGACGACCACCGCACTTTAATAGCATACATTTCGGGCAAGTCATTTTGTGATGACGTTATTATGTACTCGGGACCATTTAGGTTAACATTAAAAGGCGGTGGTCGTCGCGCCGACATTTTTGTTGCTAAACATTGATTTTCCCACAATCCATTGCGCTCTTCTAATGGAATTCACGAGCACGAGTTTTGATCTGGGCGCAACATGCAATAATTACCCCCGGTGACTCCTTCGATATCATCCAATCACCAAGGAAATTACATAATTAAAGCTTAGTAACGTCTCAGTTTGTACTCGTTGGTCTGCGAAACAGACAATGTCGCCATCTTTGTTCATATGAGTTCCATATCTCGCGCATACGTGACGCGACGACCACCACTATTTAAATATAAAGCTAACTCATTGCTATGTCAACGTCCATATTACTAACAACTATTCGTGTTGACAATAATAAAATATATTCGGCTTAGAAATAAAATAGATATATTAACTAATTATTAACAATTGATGTGATTTGTCTCTTCAACAAAAACAGTATGTAACACACAGTTCTTAGTTCTGCTATCAAAAATGGAAATACTTTTACATTACGGAATTTTTACGAACGTTTGTTCGATTATAGGCCACATTTAATACATTTTAATAACATTTTAAAATGTGCACAGTGAATGAAAATATAAAGCTAACTCGTCACTCTTTCTTGTTTCAAAACGGTAACAACAACAAACCAGCTTGAACATAAACTTGTTATTTTTTCAATTCTGAATTGGAGAATCTGGCGTAACCGACAAATATGAAATTATGTGTGAAGATAAATTTCACCTGTAATTGTATCCAGATAAACCTTTTATGTTGAGTGAACATTCACCTTATTTCATGTTCTACGTTTTGTTTGTATTTCAGTTCATGTTAATAATCAACAACTACGTCACAAGGCAGCTACTCTGTCATCATAAGTGTTAAATTATTTACTACATTCCACTTTCACTTTCACCAGTCAACGAGGTTAAAGTTTAGTGTACTTATTTACAAACCCGATTGCCAATCGTAGTTGCACAGCAAACAGATCGACCATAACGAAGCTTACGTTTTGAGGACAACCAGGGTCTACTACATGATTAAAGTAGTTGTGAACTTTAAGGTAGGAAACGGCAAATCAACGATTTTATACAAACATTACGAAATGTTTTCTCTTTTTAGTTGAGGTGTGTTTTACTGTTCCCAATAACCCTGTTTTCCGATGACGTTATAGTAAGTAATCGTGACCATTGAATAACATTTTACTTAATATCCTTTATTTAAATATCCTTAAACATTTTACAAATTTGTTATGCACGCATTCAGTTTTCAAAATGTTGAACGTGAAATGCAACATTTTCCACTTGTTAAGTTTCTATACATATTTCCAGGTCATTTATAGCTTTACAATTGTCAATAACTTTGGGGACCTCCTAAATTTGAATAAATAGTGTGTTATAGATTTAAACTTGTCAAAATTCTGCACAATTTCAATGTGATTCAGTCATTTAAAAGAGGCCCTCCTGTTTAGATTGCTGTTAGTTCAGCCCTTATTGAAAGTGAAAGCGATATGTCAATTGGTTGAACTTTCTTTTACGTGATTTGTTCTGCTGGTAGACAGAATTGTTCTCGAGAACAATTGTGCACGCCCGTATCAGGTAATGGTTACTAGGCTTATAAGTGTGTAGTTATACACCATACGTTGTTTGTGTATGTCCAAAATTCAGATTGTGATTTAAAGCGGGAGGGTCGTCACCTGCGCACGCGCGGGAATTGAGTCCCAAGCGATGATGACAACACACACTAAAAACGCAAAGGCTCATGAGTAAACGATTGTTTGTAAACAATGACACGCTATGGCCATCTGACTTAGAAATAAAATAGATCGATTAACAAATTATTAACAATTGACGTGATTTGTCTCTTCAACAAAAACAGTATGTAACACACAGTTCTTAGTTCTGCTATCAAAAATGGAAATACTTTTACATTACGGAATTTTTACGAACAAATGGATTATAGGCCACATTTAATACATTTTAATAACATTTTAAAATGTGAGCAGTGAATGAAAATATAAAGCTAACTCATCACTTTTTTTGTTTCAAAACGGTAACAACAACAACAAACCAGCTTGAACATAAACTTGCTATTTTTTCAATTCTGAATTGGAGAATCTGGCGTAACCGACAAATATGAAATTATGTGTGAAGATAAATTTCACCTGTAATTGTATCCAGATAAACCTTTTATGTTGAGTGAACATTCACCTTATTTCATGTTCTACGTTTTGTTTGTATTTCAGTTCATGTTAATAATCAACAACTACGTCACAAGGCAGCTACTCTGTCATCATAAGTGTTAAATTATTACTACATTCCACTTTCACTTTCACCAGTCAACGAGGTTAAAGTTTAGTGTACTTATTTACAAACCCGATTGCCAATCGTAGTTGCACAGCAAAGAGATCGACCACAACGAAGCTTACGTTTTGAGGACAACCAGGGTCTACTACACGATTAAAGTAGTTGTAAACTTTAAGGTAGGAAACGGCAAATCAACGATTTTATACAAACAAAAAGAAATGTTTTCTCGTTTGAGTTGAGGTGTGTGTTACCCTTCTCTATAACCCCGTTTTGTGATGACGTTATAGTATGTTATCGTGACCATCGAATAGCATTATACTAATATCTTTTATTGAAATATCCATAAACATTTTACAAATCACTGAGTTGTTATGCACGCATTCACTTTTCAAAATATTGAACGTTAAATGCAACATTTTCCACTTGTTAAGTTTCTATCCATATTTCTAGGTCATTGACCCATGGACATACATGACTTGTAGCGTTTACGATTGTCAATAACCTTGGTAACCTCCTAAATTTGAATACACAGTTTGTTATAGATTTAACTTTGTCAAAATTTCCGTTCATTTTGGATGTGATTTAGTCATTTAAAAGAGTCCCCTGTTTAGATTGCTGTTGGTTCAGCCCTTACTGAAAGTGAAAGCGATGTGTCAAGTGGTTGAACTTTCTTTTACGTGATTTGTTCTGCTGGTAGACAGAATTGTTCTCGAGAACAATTGTGCACGCCCGTATCAGACAATGGTTACTAGGCTTATAAGTGTGTAGTTTTACATCATACGTTGTTTGTATATGTCCGAAATTCAGATTGTGATTTAAAGGCTTCAATGGCCTCATTTTCACTGCTTTGGGGGAGCATAATGTAATCCATGTACATATTCTGAGTGCAAACTTTCACTGCCAATGGTAACTCCTTATGATTATTCCCAGCATTTATATGAAACACATTCTAGGTTAGATATAGAGTAGCACTGTGAATCAAGGTCTTTGCACAGGATTCTACGAAATGAACATCAATCGTTGGGCAATAAATCTTGCAAAAAACATACTAAGACGCCTACCACATCTAATTGTAGCGTTTCTCGGTAAAATTATTTGAGATACACTTCATTGTACTTAGCAGCTAAATCATAGATAATTCAGACGCTTGTGGTGGCTTTGTCTGCCCCAGTGGAAAGTGTGGCAAATATAGGCTGGTTTATTGGTTTCATTATTTTCTTCAACCTTTTAAAACGTTTATATATTTGTATCTAATGGAGGTTTCCTTGTTAAAGTTTACTCAATACTGACCATATTATTCGCAGCTGCTCTACAATAATTAGGGAAGTCTGGTCTGTTGTCTTTCAATGATAAGGCAACTTCTCCTGCCTACTGGCTCACCCGGGCATTCCTCTCATTCCAGTCTATTTATTGTTTGTTGCCCTGACAACCTCATAAATATCTCCATTCCTTCTAACATTTCCCATAATATATAAGTGTGAGGTGTTCATTAAATCTGTTCAGATAAAGGTTAAGTATGAGCCAGAAAAACATTCATTTCTTGTGACTATCTTTCCAAATAACAAATACAAGAACTAAATGAATGGCCACCTTTCACTGAATGACCTTTCCCAATGCATTGTAACTTGTCTTGTAGTCAACTCCTCTCACTGATCCCGCTTTGTGTAAGTCTTTGGCCATCAATTTCACATTTAGTGGTGTCAGAATAAGTACTCCTATGGTGTTCTACTTTTAGACATTAATAACACATCCCGTTTTCATTCGCCACCTTCCAATGCTCTTTCACTTTGTAGTGTTGTGTGTATATGAATATATGGTGTAGCTGCCAAACGGATAGTCAGGCAGCTTCCAGGCAGTCTCTGAAGTCCATTTGACGAACTGATGAGGCTTCTTCTTCTCTATTGTGTGAATGCTCAGCAAACTGATCCAGAAATCCATCGATTCTTTTTGACAGGTTTTTCATCAGTAGTTAGTTACAATCTCTGGTTCTTGTTTATCAGCAATATTCGATTTTGCAAAAAGTACTGACAATTGTCAGCAAATGTACTCAATCGGCGACATACAATTGAGATGCAGACGATGTATGATGACAGACCATTTTTTGAATTTATAATGCTAATGCTAACAAAATCATACTATAGTAAATTCCCAGACAGAATAATAATCAAGGCTGAACAATATAACGTTGAGAGTACAACATGGTTCAAACAGTGACAACACAGGAACAAAAATTGCGACCTCAATCATTATTCTCATGATTTGCGTGATAGAAGATTATGACAGCGTCCTCATTGTATAAATGATGCGAGTGTCACGAGACAACACTAAAAACTGTAGTAAATGTGTGAATACAATTATGCAAAACACTGTGTGAAAATGAGTGGGGAGTGTAATTTGCGAGTTAATTAAATCCTCAAAGAAAATAATTTTTGAAGAATTCAATACAATAATGTTATACAATAAGTATTCATTTTTATTTGGCGCAAAATATTTCGTTTGTGCAAATAGTTTGTTAATTTACTATCATAATCGCTCATATAATTGAACTTTTTTTAGATTATCACTGGTTTAAGATGGCCAGGAATGTTGAAAATACTTCTCAGCTTGTGGATGATATTGACAAGAAAATACTCTGCTGTCCTGTATGTCGGGAAAGATTCACAGCACCAAAGATACTGCCATGTGTTCATACATTCTGTGAGGTTTGTCTGAAGACGTGGGTTGAGAAGAACGGTGGTCAGTTGACTTGTCCAACATGTCGCAAGCTGCATGTCATTCCTCCAGGTGGTATTAGAGCATTAAACAACAATGTTTTTATAAATGAAATGCTGGAAATGTTCTCTAAAGTCAAGATTGGCCAAGATGTGTCGAAGTGTGACATGTGTGACTCAACAGCCTTGTTCTGGTGCAAGGACTGTGTCGAGTTCTTTTGTCAAGATTGTAGTGTACCGCATAGTCGTATGCGAGCTACGAAAAACCACAAATTGATGACAGTGGAAGAGTACCAAGAATTTGAGAAATCCGGTCAGCGCCAACTCATCCAACCACGATTCTGTACAAATCACCCTGACAAACAACTGGAGTTATTCTGTGATGTGTGTCAAGTCACAGCATGCACGCAGTGTTTTTTGACCGACCATAACGGATCCGATCATCAAGTCATAGCCTTCGAAGATGCTCTGAATAAATATACTCCAAATTTACACCATCTGATAGATGAACTGGACAAACCAGTGACGTCACTGAAATCCGATAAGGAGAAACAGGATCTAGCAATAAATCAGTTCAAACATGAACATATATCGGTGGAAAAACAAATAAAACAACACGTAGCTGAGATTATAGAAGGTTTGAAAAAAGAAGAACAGAGTTTTCTTGCCACGGTGACTGAAGTATTCAACACGCAATACAAAGAATTACAGGCGCAGATGGAACACATTGAGTTGAACTTGGGACGTGCAGAAAGTATGCAGTCTTATGCTAAAATCTTCCTTCAACATGGTAACCCTGCTGATATTTTATCAGTAAGAAAGAGTTTAGAAAATGAGATGAAGGAGTTGGGAGCTATCGCACCATTAATACAGGATGAAATTGAAAGTGCCATTAATTTGAATTTCCAGAAAACAAGTTCACCACTGCTAACTATCGGGGAAGTTACATGTAAACGGAGTGGGAGTAAAAAAAGAAAATCTCACATTCTCACTGGAACCATGCCAAATGGTACGATGCCAGAGACAACATAGGCATCCACACTGACACCCCGGATGGTGTTTAAGAGGTAAGATACATATGACCAAGTGTACATGGGATATCAAAATGTAAAAACGCCACTTCACATCATGAGCATATTTTCGTTGACAAGTCTCATCACGTACAGTGTATTGTAGATGCGTTTCATTAATATTACAACAGTATCGTCCTTTTAGTGAACTGGAAACTGGTTTTGGAAACGAACTGAATGTTCAGATAAAAAAATCGCTTGAGATACAAATTATAATCCACGACAAACAAACATATGTATTTCTATTTCATTCAGGAAATGTTCTATCAATAACTCCAGCGAAATGCATAAAGATGACGATTGAAGTTCTGCTTTTGATTCGATTAGAATATTAAAAATTAGAACCGCTCTACATGCTGTGACACTCATAGTAAAATCTACGGTTGTCTCCAACAAAGAATTGACAAAGAGTTTAGTTCACAAACATTAGGTTCTCGAATAACCGCTCGTGTCAATATACAATGTACAAAGAGTAGAGATCTCTTGGATACAACCACCTGTGGCGTTAACTTCAAAACAATTTGAAATAGTTTTCGTTGCAAACATCGCAAACGTTAAATAATTGTGCACACTGGTACAATACACATATTCTTTAAGACGGGCCCACTATTGACACAGTGATTTTGTCATATAAGTTGTCGAACAACGTTGACATAGTTTTAGCCGTACATGAATCACAATCAGCTATCTAATATATTCTAACTGATGAACGACAAACGTTTTGAGTGATACTGCTAGTGCTGACGATAGGAAAGTTGTATTTTGGTTCGTAGATGAGTTTAAACCCTGGCGTTTATGTGTAATGAGTGGTACATGGAAGTAATTTATAATTTATAACTTTTTTACAGCTGATGAAATGATTCTGATTGGTGGCTAGGTGTTGGTCCTGACAATTCAGTTGGCAGTTTCCCAGCAAACTATGTGGAAGAAATATGACTTTATCTGTTTTTGTTTACTCAGTCAGATCTGTAAAATGTCTCTTAATAAAAACCCACTGTCCTGAAACGTCACTGTTGTCTGAACAGCGCGTGTGTACATTCTAGTGTTCTGATTTGTTTTAATACATTGTGCGTACTGTGCTTTTTAGGCATTCTATTGAACTAAAAAAAAAGAACATTGCTCAAGATCGTAAATAGAACTTTATGATCTATAAAGCCGTCTACTAAAATGAACAAGCACAACCATTGTATCTGGAGACATTCGCTGTTGTGTGACCGCCCCCTAGACACATGTTTAGTTCTGACGAAAATGACGCTTTATGGCCAAATATATAGATTTTATTACAGAACTTTATTTTCACACAGAATTATTTATTTTAAACCACAATACCAACATACTTACGTCGACCGTTGGATAGTTAATTGAGTTCATTTATCCCTTGAACACCAAAGTCAAACTCAGCCACGCTCTTTAGGCCGTCCCACTATATTACGGCATGTGTTTACATTAATGCCAACCAGCATTCGATAAGCAATGTCGTTCAGTGATTATCAATGGCTCAAGAGCTATAAAATAACATGAACATTCATCAGGCGACGTAACTCAAATCAATGCCATTATCCAACAATCCAATATAACACGTCAGTAGGTCATCTTCGTCAGAACTTGTCAGTCAAGATACCACATTGTATAAAAAAAAGCTGCCAATAGGTCATCTTCGTCAGTCAAGATACAACATTGTCAAATATAATAAAAATAGCAAAATGGATTCAATGGTTTCTCATGTACCATAAAACAGAATCCAACGAAACATAGATGCTCTGAGATAATACACAAACCTGATTTGTTTTTGATTGAATTCCCATGCATATTAATTACCTGATTTGCATGTCAGTTAGCTAATTTTAGGCATTTTCACTTGTTTCTCATCTACTGTTCAACAGATTTCAATACAATGCTCTAGGATAATGCGCAGACATGATTAGTTTTTGGTTGAAATCCGTACATATTAATTACCCAAATGTGCATATTAATTAGCAGATTTTTAACATTTCAAGTACCACTCACAAAATTTTATGAAACGCGTTCATATATATGGTCAATATAAGACATATTTCAATAATTTTGACCCCCGATAAACACAATTTTGCTTTATGTTATGAAAAGGTACGAGAAACGCCATGTTTGTCAAATACATCACAAAGTCATTTTAATAATACTAGTATCTTTATCAAGGTCATACAGGTGGTCTCGTAGGTTGATTTACAACAAAAATAAAATAATATTTTTTTTTTTAGTTTGCATAAAGATATTCATTACAATATTATATTTCTAAAAACAAGCAGCCCTTTGGCTGAACTCTTTCTTTATTTGTATTCTATTCAGTACACGCCATTGGCTGAACAGCTCTGTCATTCAAAATGTATTAAATTTATCACTACATTGTGGTCGGGGTATTGGACGATGGCACTCAGAGAATGATTTGTTACTATTTTCTCCACTGTTATAATATAAATATCTGTACTACCAGAACTGAGATGCTGAATATTATATTTTCTCTACTTTACAACAAGATACATTGATTAATGGGAATGTTAGATTCAATTAGTGTGTAATAAATATTATGTCCTATACAACAAAGTACATTGTCTGAGTCAATGAGAAGAAGTTGATATGGTTTTACAGTAATAATTATTGGTATAATGAAAAAAAATACATACATTACCAGGCCCGTAGCCAGCACTTTTGAATAGGGGGTTCGAAAACAAAATTATATATTTGATGTGAAATGTGTGAATTTTATAATATTCAAAAAGTGTTTTTGAGCTATGTTACAGACATTTTTATATTATCGGTTTTAAATTCAATTGGTTTACTTTGGGTTACGTTGGTAAGATATTTCACATAACGTCTTTGAACTATTTTACCATTTTAGAGAAGGGGTACTGAGCCATTCCCCACCTACAGACAAACAAATCCACACCATATGGTACTAAGTTAAGCTGAATTCATATTCATCTCGTCGCTTGAAAACTTTTAAAAGATACAGAGCTAGTTGATATATGGTGTGGCAGTTTGTGTAGCGACGAAGTAAGCTCAGACTGTCAGTATTTGCATAATTGTATATAGGGTTATTGACAAAAGATCAGCCCTTAGATCATTATAAAATGGACAAATAAAAACAAAGTGAATTTCGTTTTCTACCATGCTACGTTTCGAACGTATCACTGCAAAATCTAAAAAAATATTGATCTAACTGTAATTTTGTGTGTCTGCCTAATTCAACATTATGTTTATGGCCAAAACAGCGAAAACTCGTCAGTATATATTTTAGTCTATAATTGCTTTCCAATAAATCTCCCAGGTGCTACTTTGATTTTTCCAAAAGTACACAGCCTGGATGATTGTAAAATTCAGGCATGCCACTATTTTTTTTATTCTTTGAGTAAATATCCCTAAAAAATTTGCAGTATCTCCAACTTGTTTTTCAAACCAGACAATGCCGAAACCATATTTGAACAGGAGATTTTTATGTGGGTTTCCCAAGCAAGTATGCCGGTCTTGTCTAATCGTTTAAGCATGATATAACATGTTTTGGGGTTTCAGTAGTTTTAATCAATATGAGATACAACGCTTGAAATAACCACAGCACAATGGCAGCCTCCACATTCGTCTAACATCGCTACATTGTTTGTACAACTATTAATGCTGAGTACCGGGTAGATATCTGCAAAATGTTATCTGTACGCTCTCGATTTCCGAATTTTACGTACCCCCATATCGCTACCATAAGAAATAGTTGGCACAATGATTGCATCAAACAATTAAATGCACTAGCCAATGGCATACTACCAAGTTTCTTACAGTATGTAAATATATTTGGTTCACT